TATTCACTTAGTTCTAAAGAAGATTTGAGAGTTTTTAAAACTTTACCAATATCCCAGATGTATTTTTTCATGTCCTCAAATAAGATCTAGAACATTATTTCTCAACCTCTCTGAACTGGCAATTCCTCATTTGAAGTAGAAAAAAAATATTGCAACAACTTCACATTTAGTAAACATCTCCGTGAGAAGCAAACATAATTTGTGAGTGTTTCAAAATGTTCACAGAGAATACTTAACCTTGAAGGTAAGGGTGTGCAGGGAGTGGGAACCAAGATCATCTTTAGATAAGAAAATTTTCAGTGCCTCACAACCCTTCTGATTGGCTTTTGTGACCCCTGTGTGGGTCACAGCCCACAATTTGAGAAACACTGATTTAGAAGTTCAACTTTTCTTTAGGATTAACAAATATGACTGTAATCCTTTCGTACTTTAATTAAACACAACATTTACCTGTCCCTCTCTCTCTCCTTTCCTGAGGAACTTGCTGGCTTCGATCCCGCCCCATCGATTTCACTCTGACTGGAGAAGCCTGTACCTAAATTAGTCATATGAATGGGTCCATGCTATGAGCAGAAAAACACATGGCATTAGCAAATCTACAACTATGTTATAAGCTACAGCTCCTTAATGAAAATGTCAGGAAGACCAACCTTTCGGAGTATATTGCAAACTACAGACTGGGTTTAATATTTCTAATTTTCTGGGTCTAATATTTTTGTGATTGCCCTATACATAAGGGATCAGGAAATATCTACTGCTCTCTAGTGTAGTTATTCCAAATGCTTTTCCCTACTGTATCCTGAACAAGGTAACTTATGTATATAAACATCTATGAATTGTCACAAAGAATTTTGTATTGCATCTGTAATCAGTGTCTAAAGCCCAAATTTTTAAAGGTATTCAGACTCTTAAGTGCTTTAATCCCTTTTGAAAATTAAATTTAGGCTCCCAAACCAGTTATATGTTGCAACGCTGAGCACTGCAATACCTAAACAATCTCGGCCCAAGTGCTGAGGTAGAAGAGACCTTACACATCATCAAACCCATCTTCCCCACAATGCTCGATTGTACTACCATTAAGCAGCCAGACAACTATCTACTTCCTTCATAGGCTAAAACAGAATGCTACTTGAAACACCAATTTTCACGTCACATACATTTGTGGGTGCAAACATGTCTGCCATTTGAGATTCTGATCCTGAGTAATTTTTTAAGTGTTTTCTGCCAAAATAGCCTTTTAAATGCAAGTTTGGTTAAATTTTACCAGGGGCAATTTGGACTCAGGAAAATACTTCAGGAATGAGAAGACACTTTTCCATGGTGGAAACTTCCCTTACACATGGAAGTGTCTGAGGAAAAGTTGTAAATTATTTTTTATTAAATTAAATATGGCTGTTTGTATGGAGTAAGATTTTTATCTCATAACTTTATGCCTCATGCTATCTCAAACAATCCTCCTAACTACTAAAACTTCTAGAAATCTGAATAGAAGATTCTGGAAGCAATCAATATACTTTGTCTCACAACAAAAGCAACAATTGTTTTTCATTATGGAAGACTGTGAAAAGGAAAGATTTAATTTTTGTCTGAAAGAAATGGGAGGCACTAGATGCAAATGGTGCATCTATTCCAAAGAACAGAAGTGTGAAGTCTCATCTTCATCACTCATGATTAAATTTTAAATTCTATTTAATAATTCACTAGCATCTCCTAAAGTGACAGTCATGAAACAACTCAAACTATATTAAGAATGATCAATTTACAGCCAAGTCTCTTCGTAGGGAAGGGAATTGGAGGCAGGTACTAAAATTGCTTATTTTATTCCACCTGGTATCCCAGGAGTCCTGACTCTCTCTCATCTGGTAGCTCCTCAGTGAAGCGCCTCTTTTGGCCCTGAGGCTGTGGTTGGACTTGTGGCGGTGTAGCAGTCGGCAAGGTTGTTTTTACTGGGGCCGCAGGAAGAAAAGGCCCACTCAGCGGACTCTAGTGACCACAAAAATTAAAAATATAGCATGTAAGAATCTGATATTACACTAACAAAGATAACGGTTTAAACTAATTAAAGTTTACACAAAGGAATAAAATACCTTCAGTACTTTCTCCTCATAAGTACTAAAAAGGCAAATAATTTAAAAATTGTATTTAGTTTAAAGGCCCACTAAGTAGCAAAGTTGTGGAATGCTATCTTAAAGTGATAGCTATTCAAACCTACTCTACCAGTGCAACTGTAGTGCAGTTTATGAAAATGCCTGTGGTAATTAAAATTATTTCCAATATTAACACAGATAATGGGAATTCAAGAAATTTCTGCCTGACTAATGGATACATGCTATGAATGGAGTTGTCATCTCTTAGGTGATTGTAGCAGTACATGACTCAAAGAGACCCAGCAAAATAGCAGAAGTATTTTATACAAGCATATCCTGAAGAAGAAAGTCATCTTGAGTCTTAGAGCTACTATAAAGATTTCTCTATTAGAGGCAGAAACTTGTTAGCCAAGAACTTTAGGCCAAGTTACGCATCTCTTTCTCTACCTGGCCAGTGCTAGCTGGAGGTTGTACTTGTGAAATTGGGTACTGTGTGGGCACAGGTGGTACTCCTGTGGGTAATGTTGTCAACACTCCAGGTGCCAGTGGCACTGCAGGTGGTACTATGCCTGGTACTCCATAAGGTGGTTGAACTGGCTGCTGAGGAGGAGGAACAACAGGGTAACCAGACTGGTAGCCATTGGATGGATAGTATGATGGCTGAGGAGGTATGCTATTTATAGCAGCAGGTTGTGTGAAACCTGGTGAGGAGAAAAAAAATAAAAATAATTACTTCTAAATCAGCTGCAGAATCTAAAAAATGTAATTGACGAGGAAAGGTAAAGAAGGTGGGCTGTTGTTCACTGAAGATAAATGAGGGAAAAGACTTTCAAAATTGACAGGGAAAAATAAGACTGTTGCCCAATACCATCTGACTGGAATATATGTAAATGTAAATATTGCTCATAGAAACAATGTAACTTGCAAACTTCAAAGATATTAACACATACCTGCTAAAGGTACTGCAGTGGTTATTTGATTGACAAATCGGGAGTATTCAGCATGAACCTTCAAAGGACATTAATAGATTAGCAAAAAAATGTATACCATGAACCATGTCAGACTAGCTCTTAGTGAGGCAAAGAATATTTCTTACTACATATTTATCCAGCAACTAGCACAATGTGGCCCTGACTCTGGGTTCTACCAAGAGCACAGTAATGATAATGAACCAAGCAATAAAAGGAAAAGGACAAAACTAAGTCACAGGTATGGCATGGAAGCATGACAGATTTTTACCAGAGATGTACTGCTGGAGTCACTAAAGGTTAGATATAACATTCTGAAATATTTTTATCCTTAGAAGGGATGCAGAACTCCTCTGGCGGGGGGTGGGGAGTAAACTCCTCCGCAGAACTCCTCCTGTTCCTGGACTGCAGCAGGGAAGAGTGAGAGAGCTCTTCTCCCCCGCGGCTGCAACGGGGAGAGAGAACTCCATCAGCCCTGGGGCTGTGGCGGGGAGAGCGCAGGGCTAGAGAAGTTCCACTCTCCCCGCTGCAGCCCAGGAGCAGAAGGAGTTCTGCTCTCCCAGGGCTGATGTGGGGAGAGGGGAGCTCTCTCGCTCTTCCTGCCGCAGCCCAGGAGCAAAAAGAGTTCTGTATCCCCCACTGATTACTGGGAGGGCCCATATCGCTGCTTCCCCGTCTTGCACACACCCCCTGCTCAAAGCCAGTTGTTTCCTTGAAACATACCACCACCAGCATGTCAAAGCTTATGAAAAGTTTTGCCGAAAACATAATAAAAGCAGTTACAACACTGAGGCATAGCAGAGCTAAAAGGGACCCTGAAATCTCATATTTATGGGAATAAGCCACCATTAAAAGTCACTTACAGTTTGTAATAGATTCTCACACAGCTTTTTGGCAGCTGCCAGACCTTCTGGTTTTGGATGACTGAAAAAACAAGAGTCAGAAACTTGAAAAAAGTGCATTAGTGGTCTTGCTCTTTTATGACTGAATTTTATGACTAGGCTTGGGTGCTTCTTCCTCTTTACTTCCTCCATTGGGTAGTGCAGTTCCAGGCCTTTTCCCTCTCCCTTCATATAGGTGATCAACTGCTTGTCTGCTCAACAGCACATCTAGACCTCTGAACTTTCATTTAGAAAGTAAATGTGCCCCCACTTCCTCTTACAATGAAAGTTCAAAGAGGCTCAGCTGCTGCAGGAAGTACTACAGAGGTCAGTGACCTGATTGAAAGAAGAACATTGCGTTTTCCTTTTAAATTCTACCACTTGTAAGACACTATCAGTCAACATTAAAAGGAAAATTCTACATTCTTCTTGTAGTCCATCTTCTGCTCTCAGTAACAATTTGACGGTGCTTAGAGTATATAGACGTAGTGTTTTATGAAACATTTAAACGGGGGCATAACATCTCTTTCTAAACAAATCCAACTAGAACTACACGGTACTGTGTTCTTGTGCAAAGCAGTAAGTTAAGATTAAACTGCATGCAATTTTACCTCTTAAGAAAAGCAGTTGCTACATTAGACAGTGTTTCATTCAAGCTTACTCAGCTGTCAGATGAAGATATTTCTATGCTTTCAGCATAACCTGAAATTACATTCCGAATGACTAGATCGCATGGCTTCTTAAAATTACCCATACCTTATGTAGATGTACATAGGTTCAAAGGCTTCTCTGCCTGAAGCTGGCTCTATGCAGCCCGAGCCCTTCCCACGTAGGAAGACCTTGGCACCAGTCTCAATTTGAATGTGTTGTAAGTAGGAGCAGCCAGGCCCTTCCACCTTTTCCTTCACATTAAATGTAGGTACAGCATGTTCCAGACCAACAAATAATTTGTCCTGAACGTAATGCATCTGCAAACATAAAACAGTAGACAGCTCATCATTCCATGTATAAAGTTTACAACTCATTTCAAAGGATAACTATTTGACTTCTGTAGGAGGAAGTTTAAATGTTGGATGGTACAGTCAGTCCTCTGCTCTTCTGTAAGTAGGACTGCTCTCTCCGTCCCCTTCCTCTAGGAGGATGGTATCAGCAGAGCCCCACTTTACAGACTCCACCTTGTTAATCCTCCAGTTACCACAGCGAATAAGAGTTTAAAAAGACAAATTTACAAATGGATAAATCTTACAATATGAGCATAAAATTCTACAAGAATCACAGGTATGCATTACATACCCCTGATTGGAATGGAGGCTTCTGGCCAACAGCGGAAGACAGTTGGGCAATGGGAGCAGGCTGGTGATAAACGGTAACTGTAGCTCCATTGAAAGTTGGACTGGAACCAGTGGCAGCTTTCACTACTCCATTAGTAATTATTTCTTTAATTCGGTTTACAGCTCCTGTTGGGTATAACATAATACCACTTTAATTTCAGGAAAAGCATCCCACCAAATGACTAGATCTTCGGGTTCTTCATACTTTAAATCCTTTCTTTTGATTGGACTACCCAAGCCAGAAACCTGCTCTTGCTGTAAACAATATCTGCATTACTGGCTTGCCTGATGTTAATGCCTTGATATTACATACACAGGAGATCAGCCATGTCTTTTCTATTTCCAGAGTGCCAGTGCCAATCCTTACACCAAGTAGATGCTATATTCCCAAACCAGAGGCTGTTTGAAACTGGAGCATTCTAATAAAACTTTTCAGAATCCAAACAAGTATGCACAGGTTGCAAAAACAAAAAAACTACCCTAAACAACCCAATGTTGGAAAGTCTTCCAGGAGCACTAAACTGCTTCCCCAGATCTGTTTCATTCTCACCTCTTCAGCAGAGTTCCAACCCTTAAAGTGACACGGTGCTAAACAAAATACAGCCCTGGCATTCCAGTTAGTTTACACAGAAACAAATACTCTACATTTATACTAGTATTATACACATGCTAACTTCGGAGTGCTAAAAGAACACGTGGACAAGATACCTGAACAAAAGCAAACTAAGGCAACTGATACAGTCTACTCATTCCCTGTACTGCAATTCTACTCCTGGGCCACTTAATTTGCCACATCCTAACATTATTTGTTATATTAAATATCATTTAAATCATGTTGCCACTACTCTACATACATTTAGACTACTGAAAACTAAGTCATCTTGAGGATTTTACTGATTTTATGTAATCCTTAGCAGAAGAGAATCACTCTTACTGATACTATTACTAGAGAGATGTTTGCCTTTATTTCCATAATAAATGTTAAGGGTTTTTATTTTTTGCTAGCAATTTTTCTCCAGATGAAACTTGGGGAGTGACTTCACCCAGGAGAGAACAATTTTCTTAATTTTCATTATCTAAAAGATCAGAGTTTTAAAAAAACACAGGTGTTTTTAGTGCTGTTTTCTCATCATGAACACAAGTACCTTTCACATGGAGCTTAAGATCACATTGTTCCGGAGATTCAAACAAATCATTATTTCTCCATTAAGTTAATCATTCCCAACTGACTTTAGTCAGTTATTAATTTAACACTTAAACAAGTAAAATTACACATGCTCTCAGGGATCATCACCATCATCTGTGAGAAACAAAACAGGAAGCATACCACCCATTGATTAGAAATCCTAAAACGAGTTAAAAAAAGTTCCACAGCAACACTTTCCAGTCTCTAATATGAAGAGTCCATGGGCCTGGCCTCATCCTTAACACTACCCATTACACCACAGTGAAAGTCTCTTACTTGTGAGTTCTCAACCTTTACGATTTTTTTAACTAGTTTCCTATTTTTCAATCTAGGTTTTGTTTTTCAAAATAGGCTAAAATAAAAGACTTGTTTATATTGGGGAGCCACGTGAACATTACATTCTGGTAAAAACATTAGAACTTAATAACTCTGGTTCCAGCTCATTTGTGCATCCTAGATTTTGCAAACTGAATTTTGCTATCAGTATGCTTGGAGACAGAATACTAGTTCAGAATTTCAAAGTGAGCAAAATCAAAATGCCTGAAATTAAAATATAAAAATACTAAAAGCTCATGTTAAAGGAGTCTATGGTTCCAGATGCAAAAAAAAGCCCACCATACCTCATGTCAGGGTTCCTTCCCCACTCTGATCTCTATGGTACAGATGTGGGGACCTGCATGAAAGACTCCCTAAACTTATTCTTACCAGCTTAGATTAAAAACTTCCCCAAGGTACAAACTTTGCCTTGTCCTTGAACCGTTTGCTGCCACGACCAAGCATTTTAAACAAAGAACAGGGAAAGAGCCCAGTTGGAGACGTCTTCCCCCAAAATATCCCCCCAAGCTCTATACCCCCTTTCCTGGGGAAGGCTTGATAAGAATCTTCACCAATTTGTACAGGTGAACACAGACCCAAACCCTTGGATCTTAAGAACAATGAAAAATCAATCAGGTTCTTAAAAGAAGAATTTTAATTAAAGAAAAGGTAAAAGAATCACCTCTGTAAAATCAGGATGGTAAATACCTTACAGGGTAATCAGATTCAAAACAGAGAACCCCTCTAGGCAAAACCTTAAGTTACAAAAAGACACAAAAACAGGAATATACATTCCATCCAGCACAGCTTATTTTACCAGCCATTAAACAAGAGGAAATCTAACGCATTTCTAGCTAGCTTACTTACTCACTTAACAGGAGTTGTAAGGCTGCATTCCTGATCTGTTCCCGGCAAAAGCATCACACAGACAGTCAGACCCCTTTTGTTTCCCCCCCACCTCCAGATTTGAAAGTATCTTCTCCCCTCATTGGTCATTTTGGGTCAGGTGCTAGCGAGGTTACCTTAGCTTCTTAACCCTTTACAGGAGAAAGGGTTTTGCCTCTGGCCAGGAGGGATTTTATAGCAGTGTATACAGAAAGGTGGTTACCCTTCCCTTTATATTTATGACACCTCATTTACAAATATAGATAAAAACGATGTACAGAATCACAATGTAAATGCAAGCCACACTATCTCTATATTAGTCATTAATGCAACAGCATAGAACAAATAAATATGGTTGATATGGAGCCAGATATTGCCCAGGCACAGTCCAATGAACAGAGGAGCAAAGGTCGCTTTATCCCATCTTTGCAACCGCTGAATTCAGGCCTGGTCCAGGGACTGGCATGGCCCACAACTGCTGTTCTAACCTACAGCTGTTACCCCCACAGCTACCTATGGAGCTGCTCCACAGCCCAAAATATCCTAACCACAAAGTGATCCAGCAATATTCCAACGTTCCATTATAATGGGGCCTGCAAAGGAGAACAGGATGTGGTGACCTATGCTGGCCCTGTGCCAAGAGAATTCCCAACATGGGGACCCAACAGATGTTCTGGCCAGAACTGGGGTCCTTGTGTCAGACTGCAAGTGGTAATAAGATGTGTTTTTTCTCCCCAGTTGGGTGATCTATATTAGCAATTATTTAAAAATATTTGTATGTAGAAATTACATAATTGAAATCTGCATACTTTGATAAATCTGTACATTACAGGAAAGGTTTCACACTGGTTTATCAGGATTAGGGTGGGCATATGAGGACTGCAAGTAGTGTAAAGGAGGGAAACTGGGAGGGCGAACTGACAAGAAGAGCAGATGTGAAGTTGAACAACTTTATTTATTCCTTTGCTTTTTTTAAAATTTGTGTTGGTGGGCTATGCAATCTAGCCTCTGTAATTCAAAACTCACCTTTTGTAACAACACCACTGAGGGCTCATCTACACTGGGAGTTTACATTGGCATAGCTCTGTGTCTCAGGGGTGTGAAAAATCCACACCTCAGAGATGTAGCTATGCTGACCTAACCGCCGGTGTAGACAGTGCTAGGTTCATGGAAAAATTCTTCCATCAACCTAGCAACCACCTCTCAGGGAGGTGGATTACCTTCACCAATGGGAGAACCCCTCCTGTCAGCATAGACAGCATCTACACTGAAGTACTATAGTGGCGCAGTTGCAGTACGGAAGCTGTGCCGCTGCAGTGGTTTAAATGTAGGCACGTATCCTTAGATTTGAATATACATGACCAGAGAGAGGGCCTCTCCACTTATGCCCCACCATGCCAGTTCTTGCTGTGTCTCACCTGCGGACAGATGGCAGATTATTCCTTTTTATAGTGGGGCTGCACCTGAGCTCAACAAGTCACACCTTGTGGTCCATCAAAGCCTTAGTTTGATGACTTGTAGGATGCAATGGAAAATGCTTCTGTCTTTTCAACCAACAAGGGATTTACCATTAGTGCATGAACTGTTACCTTCTCCCAGATAATTTACAGCTCATAATAAAAATATATATCAAATTAATAAAAAAACACAATAATACAGGACACAACATTATGTATTACTTACTGTCAACTAGCTCTCGTGTCTGCCCCTGGACATGGAGATACAAAGGCCGATCCCTATTAAAAGAACACCAAAACATTCTATGAAAGCACTGACATCACCATCCAGTAATGAATTCATCCCAATTCCATTACAGTTTTGATAATGCTACATACTTTTCGTTCATAAATATAACAACAATCCCTGCTGAATTCTGAGAGAAATGGCAGCAAAGCAGAGATCAGCAGCCTGAGAAAGTGTAAATAAAAGTAACTGAGTATTTCTTAACTACGTATTTTTCATTGAATTTCATGACCCCTTGATAGGCAAAGGGATACAATCTACATAAAAAAATTCAGAAGTTCCTTGTTTGAATGAATGAAGACTCCCTAGATTAATAAAACCAGGAACTTGAAAAATATAATTAATTTTAATCATTTACATTGCATTTACTCTTTGGATTTCACTTATCTGGTTCAATTGCCCAAGCTTTGTCAGTTTCACTTTGTGGTTTGCATATTAACATGCTGCCATCTCCCAGACTTTTATTGTGACAGGTCTACCAGCCCAAGAGATGGCAAGCTCCACACCAGTGTGCTCCTCACTAGGAGTGACATCTTGGCTCTACTGAAGCCAATGGCAAAACTCCCATTGACTTGGGGCCAGGATTTCACTCTTAACAGCATGCAAGCCATAATCCAGAGTTCCATAAGGAAGCGCATAACATCTCCCACACACATGCTATTTAATAGTGCAGCAAAATATTAAATATGCATTTATAGATCTGAAAAGTGAAACTCCACCTTGGTCACATTC